CCGATAGGTGATCTTTCTGTTCGAGACACCACGAACCACACTATCTCAATGTAAGGCAAGGAGTATGATTGCAAAAATAAATAAACTGAAAGCATATGTATATTGACCGTAACATGATTGCCAGATCAAAATAGAATTGTTCATATCTGAAAGCCAAGCTTTTACAGCATATCTAACAGATAGGATCGACATAGGTCTTTTAGAATAACGGATTGATAAGGACTATACTTGTAAAAACGAAAGCTTTAAGTATAAGTGGGAGATTGTTAGTGTTATATACTGAAAGCTTGGCTTGGATGTTCATAAACGTTTACCCATTTATGAATGAGAATTATGTTAGATTAAACAAGTTCTATGTTCTGTTGTTTTGCACTTAGGTAGAATGGGTCGTAATCGGGCGAACAGAAGATCATTATATCAGTTACTTGCGAAACAAGAATTGTGGTTCACAATCTAGAGGGAAATGAACACCCCATTCGAACGGTTGTAGTGTCAACAGTACAGTTGGTGTTGACTGATTAATTGCACTAGTACATTTATGTATTGAACAGGATCCCAGAGAGGAGAAGTTCGTTTTATACTGATCGTCGTAAACGAACTAGGCCTCGGTTAAGTACTGCGTTCTCTTAACCCGTAAGATATTAAACAGGCATATATATGCAGTACATATTCATTTGATTCACTTGGGTGAGGTTCAGTTCGCTGGATTAATATTCCTACTGTCTTGGTAATATTGTTGTATGTAGGATGTGCTGTTAGGATATTTACGGTCACCATGTGCATTAGTTTGATGATGTCCCCGGAATGAGTTCATGAAGGATTGTTATGCTAAATCCTGCAGGTGGATTAAGTTCCGACATAATAATAATGTGATGAACGATTGCTAGTTTCAATGAAATATAATAAATTAATTAATTTTTGATTGTCAGTAATCGATAATGGACATTATATCTTAAACATGGTGAAAAAAATAGAGTAATTATAATTGGAGTCTCAAATGTAATTTGGGCTAGCAAAAGGGAGTGCAATATTATTATGTTGGTGGTCCATAATATTATTTAATTAATTGGAAGAGTGGGTTTGGCCTACAGTTAGTCCAATTAATTAAGGAGCCCTATTCCTAATCTCCTAAGGGTCCCTACTGTAGCTCTATATATACATCATTAAGCTCATGAGAAGGAAAGAGAATCCTATTGTGCAAAGTTGAAGAAGGTGTTTGAGTAATACGGTAGAAAATCCAAAGGTATTCGAGACCCGGTGATCTTCCACAGAAGTCGACCATCCACGAACCGAAGCCGAGGACTGCCAACCCCAACCCACCGGAGCTGACGTCGGGACCAGCCGAAAGTGACAAGTCAACCGCCGCATCGAACTGGCCGCCGATCGCGGCGAATCGGCGAGCACGCAAAACCACACGACCCGCGCGACACGAACGGAAGATCCCCGCGAACCGATCGTGATCCCGACTTACTCGTGTGCCAATCCCAGTCATTCTGAATCTGACAGATTCAGAAAATTTTAAGCCGTAAGTTTTTTACGTTAAACCTTTAGATCTGTTGCGCATAGGTTTATGTTTGTTATTGAATTCGTAACTTGTACATAACGAGATCCTCAAAGATCTCAACAATCATAACCTTTATAGTATTTATGCCTTAGGGAATGAGTATGATCCTGTAATGATTATTGTGACCTCTAGGATTGAAACTTGGAGTGTATTGGGCATTCAAGCTCTCTTGCTCAGTTACGCATCTAGGTTAGAAGCCTCCGCAAATGGAAATGCAACCATTAACCTAGATGGATCACAACTCTCTTTAAACAGTGTTGTCCAAAGCAACTCAAGGAATAGTATACAAGAAAATACTCCTATGAGAGAGATAGGAAATCACTATGGCCCTTTCAATAAGGGAAGAAGATCTAGAGAAGGTTATAGAAGAAGAGGTGGACGTTTTCAAAGGGGAAGGTGTGTCAAGGCTACTGGATAACAAGACACACATCAGACAAGTTGGCATAGATTTGATTCAAAATTCACCCCTGCTAGCCAGCAACAACCCAACTCTAATGCATTATAGTCTCTGTTAAGTGGTTTTTAGAGAAGTCCAGCTCTTCATCTTGCTCAACTACCCTTTCCACCTAGTATGCATGTTGAAAGCCATGTGAAGTGATTGTGGTATCATGACTCCGGAGCAACTAACCACTTCCCCAATGACATGAACAATATATCAAATGCTCTAGAATATCAAGGCACAAACAAGTGCACATGGGTAATGGTGTTGGTGAGTTCATAATCCATATTAACAAAACTCATTTTAAATCTCTTTTATGTTCAAAATGGTTTACTCCTGATAAGCTACTCCATGTCCCTACCATAACCAAAAACAATATTAGTGTTTCTAAGTTTGCCAATGATAATGATGTTTATATTGAATTTCACTCTAATTATTTTGTTGTTAAGGATCGAGCTACACATCAAATCCTGCTCAAAGGAGTTCTGAAAGAGGGCCACTATCAATCCAATATTCTAGTCAGTTAGAAAACCAGAAAATTCAAAACATTACTTGTTTCCACAACCTCAACCAACCTAGTGCAAATGAAATTTTTCTTTCCAAGAAGTGTGGCTTAGAGATATGGCACAAGAGATTAGATCATTCAGATAAAGAAATTGTAATAAGAGCTCTAAAAGATTGTAATAGAACCTATGGTGAAAATGTAATGAATGAACCTTGCTCATCTTGTCTTCTTACAAAAACACAACAGATTACAATATTATTTATCCATAACCTTATGTTTATATCCTTTGGTATTTTTTTCATTCTAATCTATGTGGACCTTCTGCTATAAAGTCAAGAAGTGGATATCTTTACTATGTTACCTTCGTTGATCATTTTTGTTGATACGTCAAAACCTCCGACCGACTGGAAACTCAAACATGCTGAAATAGATTTACTTGTTCAATCATATTTGCCTATGAAGTTATGGGATGATCTCTTGTAACTTATTGTTATTTCACAAATGGAGTGTCGTCTAAGAAACTCTTGAAATTCATTATGGACGCAAACCAACCTGCATGCCCTAAAATTCTTTAATTGTTTATGTTACCCTTTACTCAAGCTTTACAATAAGCATAAGCTTGAGTTCCAGCTCAGAAAGTGGTCTTCATTGGTAAAAATACTCATCGCAAAGGCTATAAGGTTCTTTTGCCCTAATAAAAAATTATTATAACAAAGGATATAGTTTTTTATGAAACACAATTTGTTTCAAGCAAAAATAGAAGTTCCATGTCCAGTGGCTCATAAGGATCACATTCAGTCAAGAATATTGTGTAAATGAATTCTCTCAATCTTATCATAAAACATCTATACTAACTCATGATACTCAGTCAAATAAAACACCAAGAGTATCTTCACCTTCTGCTCTTAAAACACCCCAATATCTTTCCCTTTCTTATGATCATCAAAGTTAAAATAACATAGAAAACATAAATTCAACTTTACCTTTGTTTGTTGAGCTACCAATATTGAATAATGAATCTTGTCAACAAAATAAAAATGTGAACGGAATTGTTGTTGCTAAAGAATCTGTTTATCCTCTCAAAGAGGGTTATTTTTAAACCCAAGATATATGGCAGCACTCTCTCAAAAAATCAGCCATCTTATTTGAATGATGCCTTGAGTAATGGTCTCTGGAAATAGACAATGCATGATGAGTATGATTCGCTCATACTGATAAGACTTGGGATTTGGTCAAGGCTACATTCTTGCCCACATCTTGTGGGCAATAAATGGATCTTCAGATCAAAAGAAATTCAGATAACTCCATTTGAAAGTACAAAGCAAGGTTAGTGGCTCTAGGTTATTCTCAAACTGCAGGTTTTGATTTCAGAGAAACATTTAGTCTTGTTATCAAACCTACAACAATATGGATAATTCTTGTTCTTGTTGTAAGAATGCATTGCAAGGTAAAACTTGATGTAAACAATCCTTTTCTTCACGGGAATTTAGAAGAAAATGTTTATAAGAAGCTGCCTCTAGACTTTGAATTTGGTTCGACTGATAACAACCTTCTAGTGTGCAAATTGAAAAAGGCAATTTAAGGTCTAAAGCAAGCCTCTAGGGCTTGGTTCAATAAGATAAAAGGTTCTCTCTACAATCTTGAGCTTAAGAATTCTGAGGCAGATCCTTCATTGTTTTATTAAGACAAGCAAAGAGGCTCAAATACTTTTGCTAATTTATGTGGATGATATAGTCTCTTGATAGAGATAACTATTTAGGAGTCGAGTGCATAGTATTCCTTACAGATTTGGGGGAAATTCATCATTTCCTTAGAATAGTGGTTTATAAACTTCAGAAGGGCTACACTTGTGTCAGCATGAATACATTTGTGACTCCTGAAGAGAGCAAAGATGGAGGATGCTAAAGGTTATCCTACACCAATAGTTACTTCTTCTAAACTTTTTAAGTGCACAGGTGATCCCACTATAGATGCAGCAATATATCCTTTGCAGTGAATAAAGTGGGTCAATTCATAGCTTGTCCACTTGACACTCATTTAATAAGTGTGAAGAGAATACTCAAATACTTGAGCCACGCTTCAACATATGGATTGCATTTGACTAGAAGTAAGAACATGAAATTGGTGGACTTTTCAAATTCGACTAGGCTGACGATCCAGATTGGAGTGCAAATGTCAACCTGAATCCAGGCATTTTTTAGATTGAACATTAATCCAATCACAGGGGCAATCATTCATTAAGAAAAATTAGGTGAACTTCATCAAACACTGCCAAATTACAAAGTGAAGCAACACTCAACCGACAACTCTTCCCATTACACGACAATATTACACAAGAGTTGCGACAGAGGTCTCTCCTAACCCAAGAAAAAATATCAACCTATGAAATGATTACTATGTAATCTCATATCAACACAGTCAAAAACTCCACTCAGTCTCCAGTTATTACGAAAAGCACAAGATTTGAATATAAAACACGCGGTTAGAGAAACTCAGACCCTGCTATTGGCAGGCAGTGGCAGGACACCATCAAAGAAATCCCCAAAATAACCTCTCGGCTCATGCACGAGCTTTGATATTATGTCCCTTAGAGTGATAACTCCTTCCAGATTCCCGGATTCGTCAACCACATATATGCGGTGGATCTTCATTGAGTCGAGCTTGATAATCACTTGTTTAAGGGTATCGTCCTTCATGCATGTCACCAATGGAGACTCATTCTGCTGCTCCTCAAGATGCCTTCTCACTGCCGCCAGGAAGTTCTTGGCAGTGATTGATCTGTATAATACACCACATGCCAAACTCAACTCAATTTCATCACCAAAAATATTATTACACTTCCAGTCAGCTGTTAAACATGCTGCCCGTTAAATTATTTTTTAGAAACGTCACTGGCAGATAATTGTACACAAAATAAGAAAGCAGTTGTCTACTATAAGCTAAACTAGGTTTTACCCTTGGCTCTTATAATCTTCACATATCGATTTTCAAATGAAAAAAAAAAAAAATGTGGCAGAGAAAAATGAAGCTACAGACCTATACTCCTTGTAGATCTCAGGTGCCATGAGAAGGAATTGGATATCTCGGATGCTTATATTGCCGATTGCCTTATTTCCACCATTTGCAACCACAGGCACACCTCCAACTCCATTTTGCCGCATTAGTTTGAACGCCTGAAGAACAGGCTCATCCTCATTGACCTAGACAACAGAAAACAAATGTACAAAAAAAAAATAATAAAAAAAAATAAAAAAACATTCAACAACAGCAATCGCATATAGCAATATCGTGGCAAAACAGTTTTTTTCTTCAAATTGGAGACAATATGGATAATATGGAGTCTATAAGTTGGGCTGATTAGATAGAAACAAGAGAAACTTCAGATTCACGAACCTGAAAGCCATAAAAGTGGAAATGACATAATGATTACAATAATAAGCATGATAACTGATTCAGGTTACTTAATGGTACATGCACGTAATAAATATAAATTCACCTTTATTATGTGGCGAGATTTCATGAGAGGAAGTCCCAGTTCAAAGAGCCTTTTGGAACCCCAGCTCTCGAACCAGTGAAGACCTGCACATTCTTCGAGCATGTGAATAACGGCACTCTGAGTGATGATATTGTCGATCTTCGCTTCCCCCAAATCAACAACAGGGACACTCTTCATACGGTATTTGGACAGCAATAGGAGCATAGTCAGAAACGAGTTGGCCTTCTGCAAAGCCAGAAATGGGGCCCAGCGAAAAGTTCCCGATATATCCCCAACCTGTTTATTTAAATCATGAAACAGAATCTT